AGGCGGCACAGTTACACAGGAGTCGATTCGTCTTGGCGTGGTTACCCATCAGTTGCTTGGGAAGTCGTTGGAGATCGCGAAGGCCGGGGTTCGACTTCGTCACCGGACGTTATGGATTCGAATTGACATGCCGAACGCCCGGAGCGAGACCTGGGCTGACCGGCGACCACCCCGAGACCGGTCCGCCCCACCTTTCCGGACGCTGACATCGGCAGGCCTCGGTCTGGGAAGGATCGAAGCGAAGGAGGGGCGAATGAGAACCACACTATGAATAGGCAAAGCTTTCCGATGAACAGATGGAAGAACCTTTGGCCCGCCTCATCCCGAACCTTTGCGATGATTAAGCGCATAAGGCGGTCGCTTGAACTTGCCAATGTTGGGACGAACTTATCAACAGTTTCACGGTCTCATAGCAACACCCGAGTCTGCAAAATGTCACCAAGTCCGGCGGGACATCGCCTCGTTCTCGGCTCGCATAAGGCGTGAAACCAAAGTCGAGGTTGCTGAGCTGTATCTAGCCGCGAGATACTTCGGCGCCTCGCAAGAAATGCACCTTCGCGTGGCATCCGAGACAAAAACAACGGCTATTCGCCGGAAATGACGGTGCTCCAAGACACCCGCCTCACGGGAAACCAATGACAGCTTGAACATGTCGTGAAAGCATGCCGCTCAAGACTTCTTAAGCAAAAGCTTGAGGTATATGGGTGAATCAATCTCGTATCTGTCGTTGAGGATGCCAACTCTTGCTCCCGTGTCTCATTTCTTTCCCCGATGTCTCTTGCAATGGAGCACAAGTGGTCGAGGAACGATCTCAGCTCGCGTCCAAACTTTTTTAGACCAAGACACGGCGGCGATCATAGCTCATTAAGCTTGTTTATAATGACAAACTCCACAAGCGGATTAGTCTGAAAGTTTGCGGTAGAACCGAGACCTTGCCCAGTAGCTAGCGGCATTTTTACAGGGAAATCATCATCTGATCTTTCAAGATTTTCTCCCCAAAGCTTTTTGGATTTTAATCAACTCTACTCAATTTCCCTTTCGTAAGAGGTGCGAACATTTCAACGGCTGACCGCTGCTACGCTGCGGCTCCCGCCGAGGACCCAAGATCCCCGCCCCTCCCGCTCTTGACTCGTGCCACCCGCTCCCGCCAGCGCGCTATCACGAATTCGCGATTGTGTCGCATGTCCCTCTGATATCTTTTGGGGGGAGGGTTACATAGACTCGGCGATCACGCAATGACGATTCCCCGGGATACTGACTCAGCCTGCAATGCAGTATCGCCCGCATCAACTCGAACAGCCGCCAAAGGCGTAGAAGGCGTGCTCGCCGGTAATTCCGCAGGACCCAAGACGACCAAACTTAAAAAAAGAATATCACACCCACCCCCTGATTGAAGGCAGATCGATGCCACATTCAAGGACACCCACCTGAAGAGACCGACCTACCTCTTTCAGCGATGCTGTCGACTCTCGATTGGCACCGTCACTAGATCCTTTACTTTACCTGACGCTAATGCCACGGCCCGATTTCCCCACAGGACCGGCATGCCGTGGCGCTGTCACCCAGATCTACGGCTGCTAATGCTCATTTCAGATGTCTTGCGGTATCACACCATCAAGATGCCGTGGCACGCACTTTTGAGATGTCCGGGAAACCAACAGCTTTTTTGTTTCGATAAATAGCATGGAATGCCCCTGGGTTGAGAAGAAAGAAACTCGTAGCTCAGCAGCTTCTCCTGACACCAGCTTAGCTCTCTAATACCCATCTCACCGTCTACATTCTTTTACTAGACCATCACAGCACTGTCGCTATCATGAAGTTCACTCTTTCATCCATCATCCTCTCGGCCCTGAGCCTGGCCTCCGCCGCGCCCATCGCCAACTCCTCCACACTCTACGATGCCGTCATCGTCGGCGGTGGCCCTTCAGGTCTTGCCGCCCTGAGTGCTCTCGGCCGTGTCAGGAGAAACGTTCTTCTCATCGACTCTGCCGAATACCGTAACGCGCCCACGAGGCACATGCACGACGTCCTCGGATTCGATGGTAAGGATATCCTTGTGAAACATTTTTGCCCGCGCATCTGCTAATCTGCCCCAACAGGCGTCACCCCCGCATGGTACCGCTACGCCGCCCGCAAGCAGATCGAGGCCTACGAGACCGTCTCCGCCATCAACGGCACCGTCACCAAGATCGGCGGCAGCGACGCCGACAACTTCGAGATCTCCTACACCTGCGCCGAGAACAGCACCCAGACCGTCAAGGCCCGCAAGATCGTCCTCGGCACCGGCCTCCAGGACATCCTCCCCTCCACGCCCGGAATCGAGGAGATCTGGGGCAAGGGCCTGTACTGGTGCCCCTGGTGCGACGGCCACGAGCACGCCGACCAGTCCATGGGCCTGCTCGGCGATCTCACCGACGTCCCCTCCCTCGTGCGCGAGATCCTCACCCTGAACACCGACCTCGTCGCCCTCGTCAACGGCACCGACACCCCCGAGAACCGCAACGCCACCGAGGCCAAGAACCCCAAGTTCCAGGAGTTCCTCGACCTGCACAACGTCACCGTCGAGAACCGCACCATCGCCAAGGTCACCCGCCTCCAGGACGGCGGCGCGCACCCCGCCGACCCGTCCCTGGCCACCGCCCCCGAGCACGACCTCTTCCGCGTCGACTTCACCGAGGGCGAGCCGCTCGAGCGCTCCGTCTTCTTCGCCAGCTTCCCCGACGAGCAGCGCAGCTCCATCGGAGCGGATGCCGGCGTCACCCTCTGGGGCGGCAGGCTCGCGGTCGACGTCGCCAAGGGATACGCTACCAACGTTAACGGCATCTACGCTATTGGTGACGCCAACTCTGACAACAGCACCAACGTCCCCCACGCGCTGTACACTGGCAAGAGGACTGCTGTCTTCCTCCACGTCAGACTCGCCAAGGAGGACCAGGCTAAGGAGACCGGCGTCGAGCTGTCTACCCTGCTCAAGAGAGACACTGAGCACGAGGAGCGTGCTCTCTGGGACGTTGTCAACGGCAAGCGCGACGAGATCCTGTACGCTGGCGAGTTTGACCAGTAAACGCTTCATGTACATGATTTGGGATGCCAGCGGAGGCGTTTTTACATAGACGGGCGGCGTTTGGAAAAGTTACAATGACATTTTATTCTGATCCTTCAATCTGCTTCATCCTCAATCTCCAAGTTGCCGACTTTGAACTTCTTGCCCTTCATGTCTGCGTAATCATTGTGATGATGGTAGTTCTTCACGCGTTCTCTGACGTATTGCAGGCCAGTGACTGGCTCCGCGTTCTCGGCATCCTGCTTGACGAGACCTAATCTCTCTAGTAGTGGAGATGGAGCAGGCTTGATGTCGACGTCGTCACCGGGTCTCACAAAGTAGAACAGTCCCTGACGGAAGAGATGGGCTTGGTCTTCGGGCGGTCGCACAACTCGATGAGTCGTCGACTTGAGATACCCTGCAGACCAGAAGTCGAGTGTGTCGCCCACATTGCAGACGATGCCATTGTCGACAGGCGGGACATACTTCCATTCGCCCGACGACGTCTTGATCTGGAGACCAGCCACATCTTGACTCCACAGCAGCGTCAGTGAGCCAAAGTCAGTATGGGCACGCGACCACGTGTTGGCGACTTTGAGGTCGTCGGCGAGAGATCGCGGATGGTAGCCCATGTACCGCAGGTGGTCCTCGCTGGGATCTTCGTAAGCGTGGCCGGAGGAGAAGTAGTCTTCAGGAAGCTCGAGGATGATGGAAAATAGTGTGAAGACCTTGCTAGCTATCTCGAGCGAACGCTGTCCATGTGTTAGCCTGTATGGGATGTACAGCTGGGGATAAGCTCACCCTGGAGAAATCCTCAATCTCCTCGCGGTATGGCTCGAAGAAAGGGTGGAATGGCTCATTCGCATACTTGGGAATGAACTTGGCAATGTTCACCGACTCCACGTTGTTGAGTACTTCTGTTCCTTGCATCTTCTTATCGTGAAACTGGTTTGACCAGGTCAGCTGAACGCTTTCTGTGAGATAGATCATGACATACCGGCCTGTATCCAAAGTAGTTCCCCTTGGAAAAGTCACACGTGTTTCCTGGGCTTGCTTTGTCTTCGACGGGGAGGCCAAAGAATCCCTGTCCGATGTCATACTGGCGCTGTACCTCTTCAGGTGTAAAGCCAGTATTGATAAGACTGAAGAAGCCCGTCTCGTGAACCTGACCATCCTGTCAACGGCTGTTCGCTGTTCACACTGGGGTTACTCACCGCTTGGCGCAATTCTTCAGCAAGCTGCTTCTTGCCACCCGGCTCGTCAAACTTGCCAATATCGATCACTTTGATATCCGCCCAGGGGAGATCATGCGTGGTCTTGGCTGGGCGCTGCCATTTCGGCAGGGGTGTGGTTTCAGGAGAGACGGCCGACGGCATCTTGGGCTTCGTTTCTTTTCAATTTTCACTGACAATTCGGCGAGCAAAGTCGTCGAATTGAAGTCAAATCGCATTGATAAATACCCCTCCATCTGATGTCACGATGTTCCCCGCGCCGGTACTTTCGCGCCGTGCCGGAGGCGGATCGCCGCGTTCTGAGCACGCCATCTCCCTCAACCATGACGAGCCGAATCCTCAGACGATGGTTGGTAAGAACACCCACATGCCATGCGACTCGGAGCTCCTTGCTCGTTCAATTAGGATGACTTGCATGATTATTCGGCGTGCCTCCTTCAATGATAGGTGACGTCGAGGCCGACGTCGGGGTCACTCATATCAGTCCTTCAGATGAGACGAATTTCACCATGATTGGATGGATGCACCAATGAAACAACCAATCCCATGAAATATAGAAGAGAATTAGTCTACTTAACATTGAGTTGGCTTACTGAAGGATTACTCGCATGTAGGCGATTTTCGATGCCGAAAGTGACATCAAGGTCAACCTACGTGTCCCACTGTGGAGCGTGCCCTAGATAGGTATCCCATGGACCGGTTATCCACAACAACAAATCAGCAACGCATTCTTAGTGTAGCGGTTATCATCCCAGCCTTCCATTTCGAGAGAAACTGAACAGCTGGGGACCGGGGTTCGACTCCCCGAGGATGCATAACTTTTGCTGTTTTTATTGATGGTTAATTCATATTTTACACTAGTCCTGTGCTTTTCTTTGGAAAAAAGGCGCAGAAACCGGCGCTGGGGTCGTGAGCATTCGAGTATGCGAGGTGAGGTTCAGACATAGGCGACCGCGATGATCGGTAGGGAAGGTAGGGAAGGTAGGGAAGGTAGGGAAGGTAGGGAAGGTAGGGAAGGTAGGGAAGGTAGGGAAGGCAGCGACGACAGGGACGGCAGCGACGACAGGGACGGCAGGAACGACACCAGAGGACGACAGAGGGCGATAACAGAGGACGACAGAGGGCGATAACAGAGGGCAACACTAGAGACGCCACTGGAGGACGATCCAGAGTGCAGAGACGGCAGGAAAACAAACACCATAAAGACAACGGTAAAGACATCAATTGAAAACGCATCCGAATAGGATAAACCGACCAATGTCCGTAGCCGAAGCCTCGCAACGCTGCCCATTCTTCCCGTCATTGCGGAGATATGCATTAAGCTAGGCGATATGCTTCGGGGTCTGGGAAGAAGATACTTCAGCGTCCCGAGAGTACCGTTGCTTTTGCTCTTTGCCCATGATTATGGTTCTCTTTCCCCCTTGCGAGGGACGAAGCAATTGGCGACGTCTTTGTAATATCTATTGACATGTTGGGAGACGAGTGATTTTGATTACAGGACTCGGCGGGGTTGTAGAGATTCTTAGCATTTCATTCGAGTCTCTTGAAATTATAACCAAGCGTAGCTACTGACGTGGGGTGACGGCTGAGGCTTGTATCTACACGTAGGCATCTAGTATCGCGTGAATCGTTTACCAGTTGTTGTATGCCAACCGCCTACTTCACTCAGATACGGACTGGAAACCAGCATTATCTTGGAGCACCTCCGTCGCGAGATCGATCTATATTGCCGTTATTACGGTAGCAATAGAGACAGTCGAGCTGGCGAGAAGCGCAACGTGTCGTAGAGGAATGTGCCGTTTTAATTCCATCGGGACATATAGCCGCCGGGCCGCGTTTTCAAAAAAAAGGTAGATCTTCTTAATTTGACTGAGCTGAAGCTGCCCCGTATTGAAAGGTCACACTGGGCATGGCAGCTAGACGAGTAAGGCCTGTGTTCTGGCTGACCCAGTCGTGGATCGCGGCTAGGGAGTATGGGTCTAGACCAGCCTCGACGCCGGCAAAAGGGATGAAGGATCATCAACTTGTGTTGACTCATTGCTTGCTCGGGTATCACCCCGTCACAAGAGCTGTCAGGTAGAAAGGATGAGCTGCCGCATTGGGAACAATGCGCAGACTCACGGAAAAGGGTGGGACAGGGATAGCACCGAGCAGGGCGACGGTTTTGCAGGAGCTATTTCTAGCCTTTCCATATCAGAGTATCCATCTTGCTGGACGAAACACCGGGCGAATTGCTCTTACTTCATTTGCCTACTGTGTACCATCTTACAGGGTGGGCTATGAAAGTTCCTCGACATATCAGAGTAGCCGTGCAGACTGTCATGATCACACTCCTCGGTTGCGCTCAAGCGCAAGCACAGCATTGTGCTCGGGACTATTACTCTTCCCGATTGGCCCTGACTACGATGTTGTCGAACCTATTAGAAGCAGGAGTTTCTTGACGCGGGGTTGTCGGTCGTATCCGCTTGAGAACTTCAACAGGCTCGGGTACTTATTCCGTGTGCCCAACAAGACTGGCTGCGTTTGGTCTATGTAAGATAAATGGTGGGTCGACGGGAAAGAACTGCGCAGCCTGCTTCGGCTTGGCGGTTGCTCCGCCGCTGATGCCCCGGCATTCGCAGCTCCAGCCTGTTTATATCTTCTCTTATGATCCATCCAGACTGGTGAGCGTGTTTTCCCCTTTGCATGCACTTCCGTCATTCTATCGTCGGCAGCATGTCAGTCTATCGAGTTGTCGGCCTCCCCGCGGGCCTGTCCAAGGCCAATACAAAGGAGATACTCGATGAGCTCTTTGGCACAGAGACACAGACGATAGTCCGCTCTCTGGGTCTGTATCCCCACGCGGACTACCTGGTTGCGATTGTCATGTTCTTCCCTGTGCCGAGTCCTTTGCTGAAAGGGCGCTCCTGGAAATTCGCCAAGGTCCTGTCATTCGACGGCCGAGCGCGACGTGTCCGGGTTGAAATCGACACGACCTTTCTCGGTTTCACTCCCTTGAATGTTGTCGAGGACACTCATGATAGCAGGATTGACTGCGTTGTCGTCAGTGAATTTGGCAGTCACTCTTTTGAATCTTGGAAAGACGGGGGTGGTCAATTCATGTGGCTGGTGGACGATGATACAGCGTTTCCCCCAAACGTCCGCGTTCTGCTTTACGGCTATAACGCCTCACTCCGCGGGAGCGAGTCATCCCAGAATCTCGCCGACTTTGGCGATCAACTTGCCACCTCAGTCCGGAGTATACGGCCTTTGTCCAACACTCCAACGCAATCGAAGCCTCGGCCAATCGTGTTCATTGCGCACGGCCTGGGCGGGCTGGTTGTCAAGGAAGCCATGTATAGCTTGGCAAAGAAAGATGAATTCAACGCCCATTGCATTTGCGGCTTGGTTTTCTTCGGCGTACCCCATCAAGGGCTACTGGTCAAGCCCTGGCTTCGCCTGATCAAAGAGCAGCCAAGTCAACAGCTTGTGGAGAACCTCAAGCCAGGGTCACCTTATCTGAAAAGGCTAGATAAGAGCTTTCAAGACGCCATCAATGTTGAGGGCTTGAAAGTGGTCAGTGTTCTTGAGGAGATGAACACACAGGACACGCAGAAGAATAACCGCGGAGCCGTCGGGCGGGCTGGAGATAGAGAATTGCTGGTTCCGACCAGCTCGGCTCTGGGTCACTGGCCAAAGTCCATGTCTCTTGGTCATGTGGCCATCAATCGCAACCATGACAGCCTCCCCAAGTTCCGGGGTCGCTTTGACGCAGACTACCAAACATTCAAACACTGCTTACAAGACATGTGGGCGACTGCAGTTGAAGATGTCCAAAGACGATTTACAACGGACAAGAAGCCAACCGATTCGAACATACCCCTCGTGCAGGAGAGGCTACGGGAAGTTTTGTCCGAAAAGGACCTGCCCGTCGGACTGATACCGATTTGGCCGGATCCGCAGAACGAGAACGCAACCGATATCCCAACAGATGTGGACCTAATCGCCATCCATGGTGTTGGAGGCCACGCTGTCGAGACTTGGACTTGTGGCGATAGATTCTGGTTGCGGGACTTTCTGCCATTGGATTTCCCTAGAGCCCGCGTGTTGACCTTTGGTTTCGACGGATCGGTAGTCTTCAACACCTCCAAATCTAGCATTACCACCATTGCCACCCAGCTGCTATCTGGCATTCAGCAGCTGCGAAGAAGCAAAGCCGAAGCAATCGAGCGGAAACTTATATTCGTTTGCCATGGGATGGGTGGGATAGTCTTCAAGCAGGCCATGATCATGGTTTGCGATGGTGAAAGCCGATACAATGGGCTCGATGAGTCCGTGGCGGGTGTCATATTCCTCGGCACACCGCATAAGAAAGCCGACATTGGCTACTGGTCGGACCTGCTGAAGAATGTTGCCCTTCTCCGCGGCCATCAGCAGAGCCTGTCGTCCAGCCTTGAGGAAAGAGCCATTGAGCTGGGATATATTTGTTCTGATTTCGAGGAACGTGGTATGCCAGCGGGCCTACAAGTTTTCAGCCTGTTTGAGGAACAGATGACGGAAAGGTTACGGTCTCTGGTAGGCTACCTAATGAAGCACTTGTCGTTACCTGTTGAGTGATCCCCACTAATACATGGCTTGCAGGTCGTCGACAAGTCCTCGGCCATTCTCCATCTGCCTGCAGAGACTACTCTTCCACTGAACGCGGATCATGATAACATGTCAAGACATCCCACAAGGTCCAGCCTCAATTATTCTACAATCTTCAATTGTTGCTGAGTTGGTGGATAATATCTCAGGAAAACCTGAACATACCTGTGCGTAAAGGCACCACACGGTCCCAGTCCAGCTTATCGATACTTTGGGATCGGTCAGATAGCTAACGTTTAAGAGCAAGCAGTCTTCAACTCATCGCAACTCCGCTTTCTATCAAATCTGAGGGCCATAAACTCGGAAAGGATCCTATCGCTTATTCCCGTTTACTCCAATAAGTCATCCAAGTGGCTGCTTGAACATCCCGATTTTCAATCGTGGACTGGGCAACAAGGCCTCCGAATTACTTGGCTTCATGGGCCACCCGGCTCAGGCAAGACGATACTCATGAGAGGCGTTGTCGCTCACCTGATCGAGCAAAGCGAGTCATCCACAGACATTGTCATTCAAAAGCCACTATACTTCTTTTTCAACGAGAATGACTCTACACGGAAAACATCTTCTGCTTTTGTGCGCTCTGTTATGAGTCAGATATTTGCTGATGCACGAACGTCGCATCTCATCAAGTATCTGGAAGTTCGTGATTACATTGAGGATGCGCAAGTGGAAGACAATCTCTGGAGATGTCTTTCGACTGTCATTGAGAGATCACGAGGAATTGTGTTCCAATTTGTTGTCGACGCGATTGATGAAGTGCTTCGTAGCAGTGTCGGCGAAACAACTACAATTCTCGACAGACTCAAGCACCTCATCACCCAGGACCTGAGTGGCCGTGTTAGAATGATACTCTCTCACCGCGAGATGCCGCAGAACGAGTATTTGAAGATGGATATTGCCGCCATTGATGTCGACAACGATTCTAATTGGCAAAGTGTTCGGTCTGTCGTCCACCGTCAAATACGAAAACACATCAAAACATCACACATCTCAGTCGGTACCGGAGATATCGTGGAAAATAAGATTATGGAGCTATCTCGGGGGAACTTTCTGCATGCTGGACTTGCATGGCACCACTTTTCTGAGAGCATGACAAGCTGGTCCCGGAATCAGATATATAAAAGCCTGGATCGGCTCACTACAATATCCAACGGCCTGATCGCGGCCTACTGTAAGCTCCTGAGCAGCA